GTTATTCTTTTCAGCTTGCCACTCTGTAACCTGATCTTGCCATAGATGCTAATCCAGGCTGTGTACTCAACTTGCCAAAGTTCTGCTGCAGATAGGAGCAAACATTTGGTTGTAATGTGTTTGAGCGGTTCCCATGTTGCACAATATACTGCTCCCAAATTCAGCTGCAAAGCCTGATCTCTTTTCACTCCCTGCAGTTTCAGCTGCACAGAAATGCTGAACGCTATGCAGTAGGAAGAACTGTGTTAAGAGAGCCTCTAAAGACTGCGAGCTGTTGCCTAGCTTCCCCAATACTACACTGCTTCTAGTGTTAGTGCCTGAAATCAGGGGGTTTGTTGCAAACCTGGGGTCAGCGCATAATTTGGCTTCCTTCTGGGTGCTGGAAAAGAATGTGCAGGGGCAGAAGTAGGTAAGAATAGATCCAGATGATACAAGGGAGAAGGTGATGATCAAGCAGTGGTGAGAGGAGGAGGAAGGAGGGTGATAGGTGTACAAGGGGAGTCGGTAAAGACAGCAACATTGGTATCTGAATAGGCTGCCACTGCCAGTGTGGGACTGAAGCGTTTGGCAAGAATGGGATTAGAGACTCTGTGCAGGGAATAGTGGAAGAGCACAGTGAAAGGAGTGGGTCAGATTTTTGTAGGACTTGGTATAGCAACTGGTGGAACATTGTGGGATAGAGCCTAATGTGGGTGGAAGATGGCAATAAGTGGGAACAAGAAGGCGCTGGGAGCCCAGATATAGAGGGAGGAGTGAAGCATTAGAGTGAGAACAGGATCTGAGGGCAATGGGGCTGCTGCAAACATTAGAAACTTCTAGTGTTGTATCTTGGCTTCACTGGCTACAGACAGGAAGGGCAATATACTGGATTCACATGACTGCCAAAGAAAGTTTCTCCCCACGTGACACTGCCATTTGTAATAAATTGAGACGCCCAAGCCCCTTGGCTTGAAAGGAGGGAGGTAGGGAATTTAATTGGTTCATGTGAGGTAATGTTTGTTGGCTTCTAGAGCATACGGTAAGGAGTGTTGAAGCAAAATGCAGGACTATGTAGCACTTTAAAGACTAGCAAGATGGTTTATTAGGTGATGAGTTTTCGTGGGCCAGACCCACTTCCTTTGATCTGATGGTTTATTAGATGATGAGCTTTCGTGGGCCAGCCCCACTTCCTCAGATCAAATAGTGGAAGAAAATAGTCACAGCCATATATACCAAAGGATACAAATAAAAAAAATGAACACAAAGAATTTTTTAATTGTATCCTTTGGTATATATGGCTGTGACTATTTTCTTCCACTATTTGATCTGAGGAAGTGGGTCTGGCCCACGAAAGCTCATCAGCTAATAAACCATCTTGTTAGTCTTTAAAGTGTTACATTGTCCTGCATTTTGCTTCAGCTACACCAGACTAACACGGCTACATTTCTATTACTATTCTGTAAGGAGTGTGTTTTCTTTAGCTTCTTTTGAATGACTTGGGGTTCATGATTATGGAGTACTTGAAGGTTGTTTTGGTGGGCAATTCATTAGAGTTTAGCTGATTTAGGAAAATCATATTTTTGGATATTTAACCTTTTTGGTGTGTAAGAATAAATATATTGAGTCAGACCAGAGTAGTATCTGGCCACTGTCAGGCAAATGTAAGGTGCCCCATAGGGAGTGAACAGAACAGGCAGCCCTCAAGTGATCTTTCCCCTGTTGCCCATTCCCAGCTTCTGGTAAACACTATCCCTGCCCATCCTGGCTAATGGCCATTGATGGACCTATGCTCCATTAATTTATCTAGCTCTTTTTTTAACTCTCTGATAGTGTTGGCTTTCACAACATCCTCTGGCAAGGAGTTCCACAGCTTGACTATGCATTGTGGTGGTGGAGGGGGGCATACGCTTCCTTTTTGTTTTGTTTTTTAAACATGTTGCCTATTAATTTCATTTGTCCCCTAGCTCTTGTTATAGAAGGATTAAATAACTTTTCTTTATTCACTTTCTCCACACCATTCATGATTTTATAGATCTCGACCATATCTTCAACCCCTTAGACATCTCTTTTTCTAGGCTGAAAAGTCCTGGTCTTGTTAATTTCTCCTCATATGGCAGCTGTTCGTTTACCCTAATTTGTTGCCCTTTTGTGAACTTTTTTCAATGCTGAGAGATCTTTTTGAAGATGAGGAGACCACATCTGCACACACTTATACAGAGGCAAGAAGACATTCTCCATCGCTTTCTTAATGATTCCCAACAGTCTGTTTTTTTGACAGCCACTGCAGATTGAGTGGATGTTTTCAGATAACTGCCCACAGTGACTCGAAGATCCCTCTCTTGAGTGGTAACAGCTAATTCAGACCCCATCATTTTATATGTATAGTTGGGATTGTTTTTCAATATGCATTACTTTGCATTTATCAACATTGGCTTTCATTTCCCTTTGTTGCCCAGTCACCCAGTTTTGTGATATTCTTTTGGAGCTCTACACAGTCTGCTTGGGACTTAACTATCTTGAGTAGTTTTGTGTCCTCTGCAAATTTTGCCACCTCACTGTTTACCTTTTTGTCCAGATCATTTATGAATGAGTTGGTTAGGACTGGGTGTAGTACACACCGGAACAACACTAGTTACCTCTCTCCATTCTGAAAGCTGACCATTCATTCCTACCCTTTGTTCCCTATCTTTAACCAGCTTTCAGCCCAGAAGAGGACCTTTCCTTTTATCCCATAACAACTTTACCTTAATCTTTGGTGAGGAGCCTTGTTAAAGGCTTTCTGCAAATCTAAGTACGCTATGTCCACTGGATCTCCTTGTGCATGTGCTTATTCACCCCCTCAAAGAATTCTAGTAGATTGGTTTCCCTTTACAAAAATCATGCTGAGTCTTTCCCTCAATAAATTGTTTGTCTGTGTGTCTGACAATTGTATTCTTTCCTATAGTTTCAACCAACCTGTATTTGCCAGGTCACCTCTGGAGCCCTTTTTAAAAATTGGCATCATATTAGCTATCCTCCAGTCATCAAACAAAAGCTGTTTAAATGATAGGTTGCAAACCACAGTTAGTAATAGTGTATTTCAAAAGCTTGTGTAAGACCATAATTGTTTTTATGGGTGATTCAGATACATTGGGAGGGGAAAAAATGACAGACTTTCCCAATGCAGTAACACATGAGATCTTATTTATTTCCTGTTAAAAGAATCTTAAAAGGTCTGCAGTTACGAGACGACATCCAGGCGCTCTTCTGCTCTGCTCATGTGAAATGTAGAATTAAATGATTATACAATACTTGAACTTTCCTAATTGGCAGTAGCTGTCTTTTTCACCACTTATGCTATCACACAGCAGCACAGCTAAATGATCATGGTCAGTTTCCCACCTATAGTTTTATTTATTTACTTGAGTAAAGAGGGGCTAGTAATTCCACTGTTGCTGTCAAATATGAGAAATGTCTGCCTTCTGGGTATTGTAACTAAGTGCATGGTAAGAAAGCTATTAGCAAATTTGTGGGTTTTTTAGAGACATTGGTGTCTTCTTTGCTAGGAGATTGACTAACACTGAATGGTGCAGATGGGCTCTCATTGCATATGTTGGTAGTCCTGGCAGGATATATGCAGGCTGATTTGAGATAGATGTGGACCCTTATGTGAAGGCTGCAATATCAGGTAAAGACATGAAAAAATGAGAAGTGGTGTAATGTCCACACCCCTTGTAACTTGAAGTAGCCCAGCTGCTTTTATGTTAAAGGTGCATTAGCATTTGTAAGTTTCTGTGCCCCATGTATAGTAACCCAAGAGTGGCTATCCACAACATGAAATCTTTACAACCTGTTCCTGTTACTTTAAATAAAAATACATTTCATTTGGCTAGACTATAAAATGGAGAAAATAAAACTGAGTCAAGCAGAACGTGGTTTAGCCTTGCAGGATTGCAGGTAGTTAAGTCGTTGAGACAGTGTCCTTTCTGGTTGAAATGGCAAGAAACTGTTTTTTCTTTGTGATCCTGTCTGATATCTGTTTTGTGGGCATTGATCCTTTGGCGAAGTGTCTGAGATGTTTGTCCAATGTACATAGCAGACGGACACTTTCGGCACATGATGGCATAGATTAGATTTCTGGATGCGCAGGAATATGTGTTCTTGATCTTATAACTCACTTGGTTAGGTCCAATAATGGTATCAGCAGAGTGAATATGTGGACAAAACAGATATCAGACAGGATCACAAAGAAAAAACAGTTTCTTGCCATTTCAACCAGAAAGGACACTGTCTCAACGACTTAACTACCTGCATCCTGCTTTTAAATCTGCACTTGAAAGGGAATCCTCTGAACTGTCATTCATGCTAAAATTCGACACTCTACATCTGAGTCTAAACAAAGGATCTAGTTCTTACCCATTACAAAGATAGCTTCCCCTTTAAAGACTAACAAGATGGTTTATTAGATGATGAGCTTTTGTGGGCCAGACCCACTTCCTCAGATCAAATAGTGGAAGAAAATAGTCACAGCCATATATACCAAAGGATACAATTAAAAAAAAGGAACACACATGAAAAGGACAAATCACATTGCAGAACAGATGTGTTCATATGTGTTCACTTTTTTTAAATTGTATCCTTTGGTATATATGGTTGTGACTATTTTCTTCCACTATTTGATCTGAGGAAGTGGGTCTGGCCCACGAAAGCTCATCATCTAATAAACTATCTTGTTAGTCTTTAAAGTGCTACATAGTCCTGTATTTTGCTTCAGCTACCCCAGACTAACACGGCTACATTTCTATTACTATTCTACATGTTAATCTGTAACTTGAAAAAAAACTAATATTCTTGTAGCACCTTAGAGACTAATAGAAATATATATAGTATCGTGAGCTTTCATGGGCAAAACCCACAAGTGTGTGGTAAATCTCTATACAAAAGCTCAGAAGAATTAGCATCAGTTCTGTAACCAGCTTTCTTGTCTGACATTACTTTTAAACCTAATTATGTAGTGTCACCACTTTTATTTTTCCAACCAGTGATAGCAGAAGCAATGGAAAAATGGAAAGTAGAGAGAGAGGCACGACTTGCAGGAAGTGACAAGGAGGAGGAAGAGGAAGAAATAAACATCTATGCTGTCAATGATGATGAGGTACCATGGTGAATAAAGAGACTCAAGTTTTTATAGTAATTAATGTTAGGCTGGGTAGCATGAGCCTCCTTTAGATGTCTTAAGCATTAACTATTTGGAAGAAGAGTGGCTACTTTGTTGTTAGGAGAATTTCACTATCCTCCATACTCTCTGCAGGAGTGTTTGTGGTTGATACAAATTAACACTAGAATGGGACTTTTTTATTTTAAGTCCTGCTTAGTGTGTGACCCAAGTCAGCAGTCTGGGAAGGCTTTTTCCTATGATTTGAAAGAAAATCACGTAAGAAGATTACTTTTGAGTTTTTTATTTCTGGGGAGCTCTGAGTAGCTGCGGATATTGATTTTAAATGGCATTTGAGCTGAAGAATCTTTCTGAACAGTTTGTATTTATCGGTACACATAGAACAGTGTGCAGAATGTTTAGTGTCTGTAGTTGAACTTATTGAAGCTAGTTGTTTTGCGTACAGTAGAACTTCACTTATTCTCACTTTGACGTACCACAAAACCATCTTCCAGCTTTGTTCTTCTGTGAAGCACAGATTAGCAAGGTCCTGTCGGTGTTAACAAGCTGGAGTAGTGGCGTGACATCATGCTTCTTGCAGTGCAGTGTGGGATGTGCATGTCACTCCAACCCTAACCCACACTGAGATCCTGAGGTAGTGCTCCTGCTGTCTTCTATTCCTGGGAGGTCAGCAGCATTGCAGAAGCATGCTCTTATTGCTTGCGCAATGCTTTGCTGGGCCTGTACTAGGAACTAGTCCATCTGGCAAAGTTTGCTTGGCTGTTCCTCCATGACCTTGCTCTGTCTATATCTGTTATCTCCCATGACTACATTGAGCCCAGCTATAGCGTAGTCATGTTAAATTTAGTTTAATCAACTAATTGACTAGTTGATGGACTTTGCCTTGACCAGTCGATTTAGTCAATAAGTGGGGGAGTTGCAGCGGGATTAGCTCCCAGCTGGGTGCTAACTCCTCTGTGGCTCTGCCTTTTAAACGTATCAAGAGCCAGCATGTTCTTAATACATTTTAAAAGGCTGAAGTGCAGCGTGGTGAACCTGGTGCGAGCCAGGACAGCTGATTACTGGCTCGCACCCAGTTCCCGCTACCCTTCTACCTCCCCTGCCCCCCGTGGAGACAGTGCTGGTTGGAACTGGTTTTTAAGCCGTCTTCCCCCCCAGCACTGGCTCCTGCTCCTCTACCACTTGCTGCCTCTACCACAGAGGCAGCACAGGGGGGTGGAGAAGCAACTAGTCAGGCGACTATGCTTGATCGGATAGTCAACTAGTTGCTTACATCCCTAACACATACTGCATTTCACAGAAGAATGAGATGGATATCTCCGTAAAGGCCCCTAATCCCCAGCCCGAGTTAACTGGCTGCTCTGCACTGCCCTGGCTGAGAAATTTGTGGAAAAGTAAGAACATGGCCTCATGTCCATACGTTAGCAGCACAAGGAATAGCACCTGGTACAGAGCAACGTAAGCAGTTCTGGTTTAGGACTTTAAGTAGCAGGGTCTGGGTGGTGTGGTACTTTCCCTTTGCTCTTTGGAGAGTAATGCCTCCTACAGTGTTTTGCCCCCAATGCTTTGTAGTTCACAAGCCTCATTAATTTGTCTTGGGGTTGCCTCCACTACTGCAGATCAGTGAGGTTTAGCTATAGTGCCTTGTTGATGGAAATGGCAAAATAAACCTGTTAAAACTTCTTGAATTTTGTAGTCTGATGAAGAAAGCGGCAAAGAAAAAGAAGGTGAAGAAGGCCAGCAGAAATTCATTGCTCATGTTCCAGTGCCATCACAACAAGAGGTAAGAAATAACAGGAAGACAAATGCACACACGACCATTTTCTGCTTGTTACATTGTGGGACCTAATTTGTGGCAGGCATCCTATAGTAAGTGTATTCTACTGGTTAAGGGGCAGGTCTCTTGGTTCTCTTCCTGAGTATTGGCTCGCTGTGGAAATCACTTAAGCTCTTCACCTCCATTCACCCATCTCTCAAAGGGGGATGTTTCACTTTCTAGGGGTGTTACGGAACATAACCCTTGTCGTTTTGAATGCTTTCATCTGAGAGTCTTTAAAAAGTCATGTATAAATCAACATACAGGTTGAAACTCTCTGATCCGAGACCCTCTTGTCTCTCTAGACCAGAGAGCCCCGGGCGCAGTGGTTTGGAGTGGCTGGAAAGGGAACCGGTCTGGTTGGCGGCAGCCCACGGGCCAGCGGCCTGGGGATAGAGAGCCCTAGGAAAGACTGCAGCCCCATTCCCCATGGGGTGGCAGGAAACCCAGGAACAGCAGGGCTGGGCAGCAGAGGTAGAGAGCCCCAAGAGTAGCTGCTGCCTTGCGGTGGGCCGGGGCAGGAGCCCGGGAACAGGTGCCTCCCTGCGTTGGGGTTGGGAACCCTGGGAGCAACCGCTGCCCTGCCTGCTTCTTGTGTACAGTATCACTTGGAAGTGAGAACAGGCATTCAAATGGCACTGCAAGATATTTACATGCCAGATGTAGGAAACAGCCACAGATATTTAAATGGTATTCTGTTATTGTTTAATAGTGCGATGAATTGAGATTTTTAAAATCACTTGTCAGCCCTAGTTTGGAGTCTTTGATATCTTGCCTTTTTTCTTAACCTTTAAATCTCTGTTTTTATTGCTATGGTTTGGGAAACAAGTAACTCTTTTTTAAAATGACCCTAGTTAGATGAGCCTGAAATCAGTCACTTTTAAAACTGTTCTAGGGTGCGTTAGTGGTTTACCTGAAACAACTCCTGAGGCGTCTCACCCAGTTTATGGTTATCTAGAACTAGATGTGCCTCTGCCTCACCCCATCATGCTTGGCACCAGGGAAAGCAAGGACGACAGTAACAGACCCAAATGAAGCTCTTGATACAGAGTGATAATCTATGCTAAACTGAGATGGCAAAATTATAGGGGAAAGAAATGCTGCTGTTGATTCAGTGACCACAACACTGTGAAGAACAGTCAGGGCAGGGCACCTTTGCTGAACTACTGTTGATGATGTAGGCAAGGGGAATTAGAGGGATTCCATTTGTCAAGTGGAAAAGTTGTGTCTCAAGTTGATCTGTGCAAGAGTTAGTGATTTCTAATGACTAAACCAGCCTTTCCTTGTCTTAATGGGTTTGTCTACTGCAGTCTAGCATTAGAGCTGAAGAGAAAGTTCTTTTTAATTCAAAATTAGTGTCTGTAATGTCTGTAGTGTTGGTAATTTTAAGACCGCGAAACATGCAGGCAGTTTTCTTTTATTAAAAGAATTAATTAGTCTTGCTGTCTGACTTTGAAATGAAGAGCAAACATACAAATTAACCTGGTGTGGTATGGAATTAGTCTACTTTTTAGAGCTGTTGTTTGTTCATCTTGCCTTATTGAAAAGCTCTGAAATAGGAAATTGGCTCACTTGAATTACTTTATCTAGTCAGAGTTCTGAGCAGATCATCTTATTCAGTAAAATGGCAAAATGAGTCTGTGCAAAGAGACTTTTTAAATATTATTGTGTAGTTGCAAAGTTCTAAAGTAGTCAGTCTCTTCCATTTCAATAATAACCTTTGATGAGCAGCACAGTTTTAGGTGAACATTGCAAGCAATATGAATACTACTATTACTATTACCACTGCTTCTGTCCTGCGTAGTCCAAGTTGGATCTTTACTTCCCTTGTCCAGCAACATCTGTGGTTGGGTATCCCTACGGGGGCCTGATGCTCAGCAACTCCTCTCACCCTCCATAGCTTTCAGAGTGCTGCAAATAGCTCATTTGTGGTTTTCAAGCTCTGAACATTGCAAGCAATATGAATACTACTATTACTATTACCACTGCTTCTGTCCTGCGTAGTCCAAGTTGGATCTTTACTTCCCTTGTCCAGCAACATCTGTGGTTGGGTATCCCTACGGGGGCCTGATGCTCAGCAACTCCTCTCACCCTCCATAGCTTTCAGAGTGCTGCAAATAGCTCATTTGTGGTTTTCAAGCTCGGGGGGGCGGGGGGGGTCAGGGAAATAGTCAGGGTGGCTGCAGATACAATGCCAGGGCCAGGGTCCCACTGTCAGTCCCTCTAGAGATGTAATAGTGTAGTTGATTAACCAGTAAGCAAAAGCTTATAGGTTAATGTTACAGACTACATGCATTTCCATGCTTTATTCCTGTCTTCCCCCTCCCCTCTCCCCCACCAGTAATTTTTTTAGCAAGCTGGGACCTATCCCTGCTGCAGCTCTGCATTTCAAGTGCATTAGGAGCCAGGCAGGCAGCCCAGCTCCGTTCCTGCTCATGCAGGGTCTGGGAGCTCAGCTCCACCTGGACAGGGGTTGTTGCCACACCACACTGTGCAGCAGCATGGGGTGACAGGCAGCCGGTCCACAAGGGGAGCTAGTTTTTAAATTGGCTCCCCTTATGGACCAGCTCCTGCCTGGCCATCCCATATTGCTGCCTCTGATACAGAGGCAGCAGTACAGAGTGACAGGGGGCTCCTCAGGAGTGGGGATGGAGTGCACTGGCTGCCAGCCTCATCCCCAGGGCTTATAGAATAGTCAACTAACCGATACAAAAAATTCATGAGGTTAATTGACTATTCGATTAACTGATATTTAACATCCCTAGTCAGGTCCCGAGGGTACTGGACCAGAAAGATACAACCTGTAACACCTTCTCTTAAAAGGCCCGCTTCTTCCAGCCTTCACAGACTGGTTTCTTTTTGCCTGATCTAGAATCTCTGAGTTTGAGTGATTTAAATGAAAGGTTGAATGATTTTATATTTTGTGTTTACAGATTGAGGAAGCTCTTGTCCGGAGAAAGAAGATGGAGCTTCTCCAGAAGTATGCTAGTGAAACTCTCATGGCACAGAGTGAAGATGCTAAAAGACTTCTAGGATTGTAGTATCTCACTCCTAGGACTGTTGTCTCCTACCATTGGAGGGGGGGGGGGAGAGGGAGTTTTACAATCCATCCGAACAGCAATTATTTTGATCCCTTTTAAATATAGACTAATATAGACTCAGCAGCAACTGAGTCTCTGCTAATGCTAAGAATAAAAGATTATCTTCCTACAGCTTATTTCCCACATAGGTTTGTCCTCTCCTCTATCTCCACTCTAAGGAATGTATTTATTGTCCCTCAGGATACGTCTAGACTGGCGTGTTTTTCCAGGATACCAGCGGTATCCCAGAAAAACTCCACTGCATCCAGAGAACATGTTTGCTCTTCTGCTTTTTTTGCGGAAGAGCAAACGCGCTTTTTCGGGGAGCCCTGTATACCTACTTCTATGAGGAATAAGGGCTCCTCCGAAAGAGGAGGCTTTTCCGCCAAATAGCGGAAAAGCCTCTTGGAAAAGCAATTAAAAAAGCTACGCAAGTTGCAGAGCACAATTTGTGTCGCTTTTTCTGATGAAGGACTGTAGTCTAGACCTAGCCTTAGTTTAATTAAAAAAAAAAAAAAAATCAGCAAAACTAAGAAGTCCTCTTTCTTGTTTTCATTACCTCCCCTCTTCCCCGGCTTGCATTCATTTCCCTTTCTCTGTAGATGGAGAATAGGGGTAGAAAAGCAAATCAAAGAATTTCCTCCTGCAGCCAGAGAAGATGCCTTAGGAGTGACATGACTGGCAAATATTTTTTTATTCCTTCACATTCTGACTATTAATTCTGCTCCATGATTGCTCTCCTATAGTGATGTTTAGGTGCAGGTCTACTAATTATAAACTGTTAAAATAGCCTATAACCTGTTAATCTGAGATGGTTTGAAAACAGCTTCCACGGCTAGTTCCTACACTTGAGAGAAATCACTCTCAAATTCTGAAGAACTCTCAACTATGTGCCCAAACCGTGCAGTTTTCTTGTAGTCTATGTAAAGCTTTTCTCCTGTTATAATTCAGCCTGTTCCTGGATGGATTGCTGGAGTGCTGGATATTTCAGCAGTTACTGTAAATACTTTTTCACCTTTTCTAATGAGTTACTCAGATCTTTTTAATAAAGCATTTTATACAAACTAAGTTTATCTGTATTATTTTCAGTCTGACTCAAAGTGTGTCCTTTCTATAACCAAAGAAGGGACGTCATAAGATCCCTTCGCCAGAGGGCTGTTAAGTCTTGCGTCACCAGCTTCTCTTGACTGCTGTAGCACATAAGAGACAATCTCTCAGGGCATGTCTACACGACAGAGTTATTTTGAAACAACAAGGTGAGCGTCCACACAGCAAGCCCATTATTTGAAAATAATGGGTTTGTTATAGTGAAATAACCACCCCTGAATCTACGAGGAATAATGCCCATTTCAAAATATGGTTAGTGTAGACACTCAGCTGTTGCTGTTTTGAAATAATTGGCCTCCGGGGCCTCTCTCAGCTGCCCTGGTGGCCACTCTGTCCACACCCCTGAAAACTATGGCTTCCCTTCTGCAGGGTTTAAAGTTGCAGGCATAAAGGAAAGGGCTCATGGCACCACACTGGGCTTGCTAGCCACATGCCACACAGCAGCACCCTGCACAGCCTTCATTGCTGCCATGGCAGACCCCAACACTCCCTCTGAGCCTCCCGCAGCTGCAAGCGCAGCTGTAGCCAGCTCAGAAGCCCCTGGGAGAAATGGCACTGGCCTGGACTGGTGCAGAGATCCCAGATCACAGGTCTGGGGAGAGGAGTCTAACCCCAAGGATCTCCGCACCAGGCATAGAAATGTGTATGTCTACAGCCGGATGGCTGCCAGCCTGGCCCAGAAGGGCACATCCACATGCTAAAAGAACCGAGGCAGTCCTATACCAAGGCCAGGGAGGAAAGTTCCCACTCTGGGGCAGCACCCCAGACAGGCCATTTCTATGTGCAGCTGGATGGCATCGTGGGAGGAGGGCCAGTCACCTCTCCCGCCCCCTGTGAAGTCCAGCCTGGACACGCCCATCATTCTATAGGAGGATGGCCGGGCTGTGGAGGAGGAGGAGCAAGTTAGCATTGACCCTGTGCCTGCCAGCCAGGAGTAGGGATGTTAAGCATTTGCTTATGGATAGTCGACTGGTTGCTTTCCCCCGCTGCTGCCTCTATCAAATAGAGCAGGAGGGGGGGGGGAAGGCAGGGATACTTCAAAGGGCAGCGCTACAGAGCTGATCCTGGGCTCCGTGTGGTGCCACTCTACTGTCTAATCAAATAGTTAATGCAAAAATGCAATTAGTGAATTACACAATTCTTACATCCTTAGCCAGGAGGTAGTCCTCTCCCTGGAGCGAGTCCCCCTCCCAGGATGTCTCCCAAGGCTCGGATGAGGCTGGGGAAGGTAGTTCAGCTGAATTCCCTCACTTTTCCTATCTATACATAGGGGCAGGTGCTGGGCTGCAAGGGGCTTAGCACTCCACTTGGCCTTCTCGGCCTGGGGCTTGCACATGTCCACCCACGTGCACAGGCTGGAGTGCCGGTCTGGAGCACCCAGCCCCATAAGGTTCTCGTCCAGGAATCAGTCGCTCCTTCCCACAAGGTTCCCGCACAGGCCTACCTAACTCCGGACTCCGTGGTGGGATACCTTCCCACAGCAAGCCCCCATTAAGGAGGCTGGGGTCACGGAAACACACAGCAGTGTCACACACAGCACACGGTCATAGCCGCATTCTCCAAGGTCACTGATCCCCTGCCTGGGAACTACTAGGGGAGAAACAGGAGACCCCAGTTCTACCCTTCCCAGCAAGCAACATCTGTTCTCTCACACCTTCAACACGCACACCAGCTCCATTGGGCAGGGGTCGAAGTCCTCTCTGGGATGCTGCCACTGCCACATCCAGCATGTGCATGGCACAGCGGGAAGCTGCACTGCGCGATCATGTTCCCCTCACTTGCCCACAGGCTGCTGGCCTGCCCAGTACTTTCTCATGCCTGCTTGTCTCTACAGGGACATCTGTGCCCCTACAGGAAGGTGCCCACTGTGTAGGCCACAGATGGCTTTGCTTGAAGCACGTTGCCATTGTCTGAACGGAGACCTTCAGTGTTGGCTCAGATTAGGGCTCGGCTTCATACACGGTGTCTCCTGGGATGACTGCCCGTGGCAAGGGCCCCTCTTACACTGGCCACAGCTGGGACTGGCCTCTCGCTCCCAACCCCAGAGTTTGGGGTTTACAGCAGGTCTATGTGGTAGAGAGCCTGGCCATGCTGCCTCGGGCTCCCTCGCTGCCTGTTTCTCCTCTAGTGCAGGCATGACTCGCTCCCTGTTTCTCCTTCACCTCCCTTCTGTCCTCTCAACCCCCCCCAGCTTCCAACTGCTGAGGCTTTTAAAGGCCTTCAGCCAGCAGAGGAGTTAGTTGGTCCCAATCTGCCTGAGCCAGCTCCCTCCCAGCTGCATCTAATTGTCCTGCAGCGCTCTGCTTCTAATTGCAGGTTTTTAGCCTTTGGGGGCTGCCTTTTCCCCCCTCTGGCCTGACCCTGCCACACTATCCTTGTAACTTTTCTTCACAGCTGGGCTAGCTGTGAGCATGGTGCAACCAACACCTCCCGACTCCGTGAGAGCCACAGGCACAGGCAACCCCATGAGGACCTGCTGCATGAACACAGGGACATGCCCCCAACAGAAGTTTTGAGGAAGAGCACCAAGGGCAGGTCACTGACCTCAAGGAACTTTGTGCTGACCAGGATGTCTCAGTCTGGAAACTGCTGTCCTGGGAGCATGAGACCGTGTGTGCTGCATTCACCACCATGGAGTGCCTGGTCTCCACCATGGAGCTTTAAATGCAATTCAGTCTCAAATCAGTGTGGACATGCTATTTTGATATAAATCTGTGCTATTTCAATGGGGATTTGCTGTGTGATTGTGCTATTTCAAAATAGTTATTTCCGGAGTTATTTCAAAATAACCTCTGGTACCCAAGCCATTTAGTTTTAATAATCTATAAAACCTGAGTATCTTAAAGTGTAGGAAACTAACTGGAAGTCGCTCCTGTTCACAGAGCATATAGTCTGTGAGAAATGTAGCGTTCTATAAACAGGCAGATTCTATGATAGCTGCAGTTTCCAGGTAATCTTAAAATGTAGTTCTTGCGTGCTGCAGTTTGAAGGTGGCAAAGGTGTTGGTTACTACAATGAGGTCTGTATCTTGCTCAGTATACATTTGGGCGTTTTTAAATAAAGCGTTCAGGGCTATTACTGCTATATCTGGACCTCCAAGAAGAGCAGAGAATCTGAGTTGAAGCCGAGAATCTGACCACACTTAAATTGGAAACATGATAAAATACATCCTGCCTCACCTGAAGGAGTTAACAAGACTACCACAATTTCTTGAGGCTTTTCCCTGGCTAGCCAGCATAAGATCAGTCATCTTTGGGCTGAGTTTTTGCCATCTTGTCATAATCTTAACTCTGATCCTGGTCAGGTACTGAGGTGAGGGCCATTAGCTGGTACCACACAGGTCCATTGAAACAAATGTACAGCTGGGTATGACCTGTAAATTGAAAGCCTCTCAGCCTGTATTGCCTTACTAAATGTCTGGACAGCCTCTTGTGCTAAACAGTGTGATTGCTAAAAACCTACTGTACCTGCCTGAAAGAGCCCTTGGAATATATGAGCGATTACTCAGTGCTCTTTCTGGATCCTCTGGAAACAGCTATTCAAACAGGATAGCAACTTCTCAACACTGTCTTGTGCTCAGTCACCATAATGGCAACATGTACCCTTAAAATCATCCACTCCCACAAAAACCTACCACTAAGACCCGGATCAATGTCTATGCTATGATCTGATCTAAAACTGCATTGAGTAGGGTCTGTGAAGCCTATAAGGACCTCAGGTATTTTTCAGAGTAGTACTGTATTTGTTGCATAATAGCCTGATTCATGTCATGGGCAACATGACTCAACTACTGTGTGAAAATTGCTGTATGCAATGATTTTTATCTCCAAAACCTTGAAATTACGGCATGTTCAGGTCAAATAAGAGCAAATGAGAGGCAGAGGGAGAAGATGGTTTTTCAGAAGACATTTGAAAATAGTTGCTTCCCCTTGGCAGCTGAAGAAAGTTCATTCTGTTTTAATGTGTAAAACAGATACTGTGTGTAATTGTAGAACATAATTCTAGGCAGACTGTTGCATTAATGCCTTACCTAATTAGGCTCATTTGACTGACTGTAGGCTCATGACCAAGATTTGACTGAACCAATTTGTTTAGCAAGCTTGTTTAATTTAATTCCTCCTCTTTTTCTCTGCAAAGAACATTGATGGGAAAGTCAGGGTAATGTTTGTAAAAGACGGATAATGAATGAGAGACATGAGCACATAAGTACTGTGTTATAACATTCTAAGGCTACATCTAGACTGCAGGCTTCTTTCAGAAGAAGCTTTTCCAGAAGAGATCTTCCAAAAAAAACTTCTTCCAAAAGAGAGGGTACGTCTAGACTACATGCCTCTGTCGCCAGAGGCATGTAGATTAGGCTACCAGGCATAGGAAAATGAAGCGGCGATTTAAATAATCGCCGCTTCATTTAAATTTACATGGCTGCCGCACTGAGCCGACAAACAGCTGATCAGCTGGAGCCGACAAACAGCTGATCAGCTGTTTGTCGGCTCAGAGCGCTAGTCTGGACGCTCCGCGCTGACCTGAAAGCCTTTTATCGACATCCCCCTTATGCCTCGTAGGATGAGGTTTACAGGGGATGTCGATAAAAGGCTTTCATGTCGGCAGGGGAGCGTTCAGACTAGCGCACTGAGCCGACAAACAGCTAATCAGCTGTTTGTCGGCTCAGCGCGGCAGCCATGGAAATTTAAATGAAGCGGCGATTATTTAAATCGCCGCTTCATTTTCCTATGTCTGGTAGCCTAATCTACATGCCTCTGGCGACAGAGACATGTAGTCTAGACGTACCCTAGAGTGTCCACACTGCCAAAGCGCATCAAAAAAGCCATCTGCTTTTTCGGCAGATAGCATCCATTCAGTGTGGACACTATCTCGCATTTAAGCTGTGATTACTATGGACGGAGCGGCCACCAGGGCAGCTGTGCTTTTTCCTCTTCTTTCGAACTCCCTCTTCCCT